AAACAGATGGAATTAGCATTGCATCAGGACCTTAAACTCCGCTACTGAATGATTACCTTGTGGTGTCTATATTTTCAGGATCATAAGTATATTGGAGAGTGATATTGTAAAGTTTTCTCATTGTTGCCATGCAGTTTGTCATAAAAAATACAGCTGCTAATAGTTATGGTGCTAGCAGGGCAAAATATGTACTACATATATGAGATGCAGCTTGTAGTTTAGTTGACTCAGTACGATTTGCACTTCTATATTTACTCTGTATCTTGTGATATCTTATTAACATTTGTGTTATATTGTTTTAAATTAATTAAACAATGATTTGGTGCATGGACATAAATATGAGGGGTATGATTCATTTTCAAGCGCTTGCATCTCAGGGTCTTACTGTTTGTTCAGCAACAATGGATGGAGAGAAATTTCTTATTGCCTTTGGTGGTTACAACGGAAAGTACAATAACGATGTAAGTTAATAATGATCCCTCAGTCACAAAATATAGCATGTAACTACTCAAAAGGATTTGCAAGCTGTAGCCTTATTGCACAATTAAATTCACATTCTTTTATTTGCATAAACATATACTGAGTTTTCCTATGATGAATAATTCTTCATGTTTCATTACAGCTATTTGTTTTGAAGCCCAAGACGAGAGACTCAAAACAACCCAGGCTTTTTCAATCTCCAGCAGCAGCTGCGGCAGCAGCTTCTGTTACTGCTGCTTATGCTTTGGCGAAGATTACTGATAAGAACGGTGATTCTGTCAATTCAGAGGGTGTAAATCTGAAGTTAGCCAGTGCTAATAGTGGAAAGGTTGTTGCAGTTGACACTGATAAGCTTACCTCAGAAAAGAAGTCTCTAGAATCCAAGCTAGAGGAAGTACTAAATGAAAATTCAAGGCTCAAGAACAGCCTTGATGAGATGAACAACTCGCATAACCTATTACTAATGGTTAGTATTCATTCTGCAAATAGGAAATCTACTATTTTTGTTTAATGATTTAGTTCCAGGGCTTTTATATTTCCTCTTATGTCTATCATAGGAACTTCAATCGGTACAAGGTCATGTGGCAGCTGAGAGCTCAAGATGCTTCAAATTAGAGGTTTGCCATATTGAACCTGATGTTTGGTGGGAGATGTGTTTTGTAAAATACGGCTATATTTACTTGTTAGTGCATTGCAGGCACAAATTGCAGAAATCCAGAAAAGGTTGGAGTCATTCAGTTCTATAGAGCAGGAGTTGGAAAACCTACAACATCAAAAGTTGAAAATAGTAAAAGATACGAGTGCTCCACAGAGGCAAGATTCAGGGGGCATTTGGCGATGGATGGCTGGAACAACTCAGAGTCCTTAGCAGTAAATAGTAAGATCAGTTTGTTGTGTGACTGTATATCCAGTGTTCTATCATGATGAAACGTGGTGCAACAGTAAATTAACCTTGTACCCATGCTTTTAGTAAATTTGTTTTATTCTGCTATTAGTCAATGGAGATTATGCTTGCGCCTGAAATGAAGCTAAACTGAAACTTTCGTTCTTTTAGCTTATCTGGAGTTCTGATCGCATATGTTTTACTGAGAAACTCAATGAACAGATGAGGATTTCATAATCCTCTATGATTCTTCTCTCTTAACTCTGGCTACACGCTCAAGATAACAAGTCTCTGATGTTGATGATTGTTATTTGCTGTACTAAATGGTATTTGTTGTTTGCTGTCTGCGTGTGCATCTGTGTTTTCTGAAGATTAAAAATTTGTTCTCTGTTGTACTAACTGATAGTTTAATGTACTCCCTGTAGCTTCCTGTTATAATAGGAACTATCTTAGTCACAATTTAGAGGGTTTCAGGATAAATTATTGTTGAGAGGTAGAGAATATTAACCTTTGGAATCTTGTGGCCTAAAAATGCTTGTTTTGGGTAAGAAAGGTAAATCCAGTGATATTAATAGCCGTCTGTGTATATATAGAGAGATAATTGTTTTATCTCAACTCCTATAATCCCTCAGAGCCTTGTACTCGATGGGTGATATGAACATTCATCTTCCTTGTAAAAAGTATACGGCTAGAAAAAACATTGATAGCTGCAGCATAATACCGTAGCAATGGAAACGCATGCCGATCACTCTCTGCTTCTCCTTTGTGCTCTGGTTTTGTTGCTTGTGCAGTCGACGCGATTAGTTGAAGCCAAAACGGGGCGCCCTCTCGCTGTTCTCAAGCACAATCACGGCAAGTTCCTCCCAGGCGTATGGAACTCTGCACATGCCACATTCTATGGAGGCTCTGATGGCTCTGACACCACAGGCAAGTTTATTGTTTGGTTTTCTCTATTATATGCATATAGAGCCCCTCTAGTATGGCGTTTTTGAACTTGTTACCCGATGCGGTTTCATTTTGGCGTATAGGCTCTCTTAGTGAATCTTTTTACTCTTTTACCCCTGAAAGCAACCAAAAAAAATGAGAATCTTCACTCAAGTTAAAAGCACATTCGTGATAACAATGGAGGGTAAAAGAGTCCAAAATATCCACCAAGGGAATCTATCTGCTGAAATGAAATATTTAATATCTAATAGTTAATTTGCATGGTAATGAGAGTGGTAGTTTGCACGCATGCAGCTGGAGCATGCGGATATGATGACACAGTGAAGCTGGGCTACGGCCTACAAACAGCAGCGGTAAGCACAAGTGTGTTCAACGGTGGGAGTGCTTGTGGTGCATGCTTCGAGTTAAGGTGCGATAAAGGCAGCATCAGCGTCAACAACAACATCGAAGAGTGGTGCAAGGGTGAGGGGTCGATTTTTGTGACAGCCACCAACGTATGCCCACCAAACTATGCACTATCGAGTGATAATGGCGGATGGTGCAATCCTCCCCGTGTTCATTTTGATCTCACCATGCCCGCCTTCCTTCAAATTGCTCAGTATAAGGCAGGCATTGTTCCCGTCACCTACCGCAGGTCTTAACTAATTTCCCATAATCACATACGGGGTTAATTGCACGCAGACCCGCATTAGCATCGCGTTTTGGAACTTATTACCCCTGTAGTTCGTTTTTGACAGACAGGCACCCTGGGTAAGATCCTTCTGACTCTTTTGCAGGGGCCTATCTGCCAAAATCAAACTACATGAGCTCGTAATGCGATACTACACCAGGCCCGTATGCGTAGTGCGTGATGATCTGCATTTGCCTTTGCGTTGATGACGGACTAATGTGTGAATGTGCAGGGTTCCATGTAGGAAGCAAGGCGGCATTAGGTTCACGATCAAGGGAAACCGATACTTCAACCTAATTCTTGTATGGAATGTGGCCGGAGCCGGAGATGTAACAAGCGTGCAAGTTAGAGGGAATAAACTTCTCCCTTGGATTTCGATGAAACGAAACTGGGGTCAGCATTGGCAAACTGATAAAGACTTGACGGGGCAATCTCTTTCTTTCAGAGTCATGACGAGCGACAGACGTAGGTGCACTTCCTGGCGAGTCACCCCTCGGAATTGGGAGTTTGGTCAGACTTATGAGGGCAAAAATTTTAGATTTTGATTGTGTACTTTGTTCATGTTCTTCATATCTCTGCTCTATTTCCTTAGCGTGAGATATTGTGTATGTCAATAGCGACAATTACAATGTGCAAAAAAAAAATGACGTGTGTTTCTTTTCCCCTTCTTGTTTGAGATATCGAATTATAATTATTACTACTTGCTTACTTAAAAGCAGCGAGCGAAGCAGAGGTGCAAATGGATCATATCTGATTATTACCATATCAGCAAGAAAAAAATTATATCCACATCTATGAAAATTGAATATACATATAGATCAATTACATACGAGGAAAAGAAATAAGAGGGGTTTAAATATACTAAATTTTCAAATATGAGTCCAATTAATAAGTTCAAATATCTGAAATGTTGAGGTTAGATCAGTAAATCATCAAAATTACCCTCATATATATTAATAGAATGGTCAAAATGGTTACAACGGTTGATTGATACATATATTCAGATATTTGGATATAGCTCCGAATATTTCACTTGTATATTCATATCTATATCCAAATATGTATTCATAACCTACCGTACATAGAATATTTCTATCTGTATACGTTTCCAGCTAGATATAGATACAAATGTATTCACAAATATCTCTATTGGTAGTTTTCTATGTTGGATTTAATCTAATAAATCTATTTGTGGGCACATATGATTAATCAATGTGTATTGCTATCTTTCAGGATAACCCACTAAAGTAATCAATTAAGTTGGGTTAATTTGGTATTTAAATAAGTCATGGGGTTATATGTGCAGATACCAGGTTGTAATTGTGATTTATTGAGGGGCTAAATTACAAAAGTACAATATCTATAAATAAGGGGTTATGGTCCCTAACCTAGGGTTACATTCTCTAATTCTCTACACCCCCATCTAGCTAGAGAAATTCGGTTTTAGAGAAACCCTAAGGTTAGAAGATCATCAAAAACCCAAATCAAGATTTCATCCATGGATTCAGGTATAAGCTTCCGCTCTTTTGATTATTGTTAATCTCTTTAAATTAATCATGGCTATATGGTTTTAGATCTCAAGTTTCGATTTAGATCTAACAAGTGGTATCAGAGCCACCTTGATTAATTCTTAGGGATTTAAGTTTTATTGGGTTTTTTGATCTTAAATCTCTGGTTAAATATTCAGTTTTGTTCTCGGATGAACAGTAATGTTCGGTGAACAGCAGCGAAAATTTTTTTCGGATGAACAGTAAAGTTTTTTCGGATGAACAGTAACTTTTTGGAATTTTTCGGATTTTTCTTTGATTTTTTCTTCAATTTTTTCCAATTCTGGATCTGTTTTGAAAATAAAAATCAAAGATTTTTTGGTTTGTCGGCGGCGGTTTCAGTTTGAAACCCTAAGGGTTCATGGCGAAAATTAAGGAGGTGGTTACCTCAAACGAACCTCGCGTTCGTTCAATTTTAACCGAGCTTCGCGCTCAACGAACCTCGCGTTCGTTCTAAGGTGAACCTCGCGTTCAACTCAGGTGAGCGTCAAGCTCAATTTCAAAGAACCTCGCGTTCGTTCTAAAGTGAACCTCGCGTTCAACTCAGGTGAGCGTCAAGCTCAATTTCAACGAACCTCGCGTTTGTTCTAAAGTGAACCTCGCGTTCAACTCAGGTGAGCGTCAAGCTCAATTTTAACGAACCTCGCGTTCGTTCTAAGGTGAACCTCGCGTTCAACTCAGGTGAGCGTCAAGCTCAATTTTTTTAACGAACCTCGCGTTCGTTCTTCAGACGAACCTCGCGTTCGTACTTCAGACGAACCTCGCGTTCGTACTTCAGACGAACCTCGCGTTCGTACTTCAGACGAACCTCGCGTTCGTACTTCAGACGAACCTCGCGTTCGTACTTCAGACGAACCTCGCGTTCGTACTTCAGACGAACCTCGCGTTCGTACTTCAGACGAACCTCGCGTTCGTACTTCAGACGAACCTCGCGTTCGTACTTCAGACGAACCTCGCGTTCGTACTTCAGACGAACCTCGCGTTCGTACTTCAGACGAACCTCGCGTTCGTACTTCAGTTGAACCTCGCGTTCATTTCCCAAGTTGAACCTCGCGTTCGTTCCCAAGTTGAACCTCGCGTTCTTTTATCAAATGAACCTCGCGTTCGTTCATTTTCAGACGAACCTCGCGTTCGTACTTAAGTGAGTCTCGTACTCAATACAGTCGAACCTCGTGTTCAAAGTTAAGGGAACTTCGTGTTCTTATGGTTAAGCCTCAGCTTTTCATGGGTCCACTTTGGTATATTTAATTTATTCAATTAAGTTATGGGCCCTAATTAAGCTATGAGACCCCAATTAAGTTTGGTTTTTAATCAATTATTTAATTCAAATATTATGACACTAAGGTATTAAGGTTGTCTCTCACTCCAATTGATTAATTGAAACAAGAAGTTGCCAAAGTAACCTCTCTTGTGGAGATTGCTCATGAGGAATGTGAGATGTTTGTGTGTATGCTTTCGTGTAAATATTTAATCGGCCCAAAGGAAGGTTAATATTTATTTAGACTGTATACACATCTGCGATGATAAGCGTGTGACAATTATAAGGTTTACATGTGAATAATGAATCGATCCAAAGATAGTTTCATTATTTGACATGAGTTATTGTCAATGTTTGATCATTGCAACAAGGTATCACTTACAAGTTAATATTACTGTCCAAAGACTTGATATTAATGTTGTGCCGGTATCTTGGATGGGGATTGTCATTATTTGAATTTTATTGATTATGGTTATTGATGTGAGCATTTTTGTTTTATTTCAGCTAATGCATCTGCTGCAACAATTTCTGCTAACATCAACTCAATTCCCATGCTAAATGGGACAAACTTCAAGGTTTGGAAAGAGAACATATTAATTGTTCTTGGCTGCATGGATCTTGACTATGCATTAAGAACTGAACAACCCCAACCTCTCAATGCGGATAGCACTCCTGATGCAAAGAAGGAGCATGAGAAGTGGGAGCGTTCAAATCGCATGAGTCTTATGATCATTAAGCGCGGCGTTCCGGAAGCCTTCAGGGGCATAGAATCCGAAGGGATTACTAAGGCTAAAGATTTCCTTGCCGAAATTGAGAAGCGTTTTGCGAAAAACGATAAGGTAGAAACAAGCACGCTTTTAGCTCGCTTGATTTCAATGAAGTATAAGGGCAAAGGAAATATCAGGGAGTACATTATGGAAATGTCTCATATTGCTTCAAAGCTTAAGGCACTTAAACTCGATCTTTGTGACGAGTTATTAGTGCATCTGGTTTTGTTGTCTCTTCCTGCACAGTTTAACCAATTTAAGGTCAGTTATAACTGTCAAAAGGAGAAATGGACTCTAAATGAGCTCATTTCATACTGTGTGCAAGAAGAAGACAGGTTGAAGCAAGATAAGACAGAAAGTGCTCATTTGGCCTATGCCTCTAAGGATAAGGGCAAGAAAAGGAAGAATGATAAGGAAGCTGCTAAGGGTCCAGTTGAGAAGAAACAACATAAGGATAATCAGGGTTGTTTCTTCTGTAAGAAGCCTGGACATGTAAAGAAGGACTGTACAAAATATCACGCCTGGCGTGATAATAAGGGTACGTTCCTTGCTTTGGTCTGTTCTGAGGTTAATTTAGCTTCAGTACCTAGAAACACTTGGTGGTTAGACTCTGGTGCTACTACTCACATAAGTGTTTCTATGCAGGGTTGCCTGAGCTACCGAAAGCCAAGTGATGTTGAAAGACACATCTTTGTGGGCGACGGACAATCGGTAGATGTGGAAGCAATTGGGCACTTTAGGTTGTTGTTAGGAACTGGTTATTATTTGGATTTAAAAGATACTTTTGTAGTACCGTCTTTTAGACGGAATTTGGTTTCTGTTTCTGTATTGGACAAATCAGGTTATTCTTGTTCATTTGGAAACAGTCAATTCAGTTTATCTTTTAATTCAAATGTTGTGGGAACCGGTTACTTGAGTATTTATGACAACCTATATTTGCTTGATACAATTGCTTCTTACAATGAATCCTTGCATGTGGAATCACGTGGTACTAAGCGTAAATTAAATAAGGAAAATTCGGCGACATTATGGCATAAGCGCTTAGGTCATATCTCAAAAGGTAGAGTTGAGCGTCTTGTGTCTGATGGCATTTTGGATTCCCTTGATTTTTCGGACTTCGACGTATGTGTTGAATGTATCAAGGGAAAACAGACCAAAGTGAAAAGATTAGGTGCCAACAGATCTTCGGATGTCTTAGAATTGATACATACGGATATTTGTGGGCCATTCCCTACGGAATCCTGGAATGATCAACAATATTTTATATCATTCATAGACGATTACTCACGTTATGGGCACCTATATCTTATTCATGAAAAATCTGAGTCTCTGGACATGTTCAAAGCCTATAAAGCTGAAGTTGAGAATCAACTCAACAGAAGAATTAAAACCGTCAGATCTGATCGTGGTGGTGAGTACTACGGTAGATATGATGGTTCAGGTGAACAACGTCCAGGACCATTTGCTAGATACCTAGAGGAATGCGGTATCGTCCCACAGTACACTATGCCGGGTTCACCTAGCATGAATGGTGTAGCTGAAAGACGAAACAGGACTCTTAAGGATATGGTAAGAAGTATGATTGCTCATTCTTCTTTACCAGAGTCACTCTGGGGAGAAGCACTTAAGACAGCAGCTTACATTCTGAATAGAGTACCAAGTAAAGCAGTTGCTAAAACACCTTATGAGCTTTGGACTGGTCGAAAGCCCAGTTTAAAGCATTTACATATTTGGGGATGTCCAGCTGAGGCAAGGCCTTATAGGCCAAATGAAAAGAAATTGGACTCCAAAACAGTTAGCAGCTACTTTATTGGATACTCTGAACGCTCTAGGGGCTTTAAGTTTTACGATCCCACTATAAGGAATATTTTTGAGACGGGAATGTAGACGGTAAAAAATACCTCTATAGGATTACAGGAAATTCACCTGCGAGAAGAGCTCGCACGCTCGGTTCTCTGGTACAGGCCTAAATCGCATAAACATCAGATATGTTCGATTCTAGGTTCGCCTAACGGTCGGCTCGCCAGCACGAGTGGAGATCGATCAGGATGGCGGAAGTTCGCCCTTCACCCAAC